AGTGACCCCTCCTTGGGTTTCCGAGGCAGTATCACTACGGAAGTAGATTGCCCAACCTTCCTTCCGAGGAGTGGCTGGTGGGTTTGAACCACAGCCTTCTGGTTAGCAGTCGGATGCCTTAGGCACTACGGCAATAGAGCTCCTGTTGAATAGAAAACCAATTTTCTCTGTAAAATTTCACTCAACTCACAATAAAAAGTTAAAAAAAAAAAAATCCAAAAACACATTTGAAAAATTATGTGATTTTTTTGAGATTCCAGTTAAAAATAATATCCAAGTGTTTTTCTTTAAAGGATCTTTAAGTGTCTCATAGTTATCATCTGTATATGCAGTTTTTTTTTTTTTTTTTCAATCAAGTTAAAAATATGAGGTATAATCTCTGTTGAGAAAGTCATGTTCTGTTTTTCACTTGGTCACCAGAGTCTGAGCTCTTGTCCAGTATTCTAATTAATGAAATATGGAAATGTTAAACATCATTTAACTTGTATTATGATGTTTTTACTTGATGCCTGGTGGCACAGTTGTGAAAGCACTCAGCAACTAACAAAAGGTCAATGGCTGGAATCCCCTAGTCATTCTGCAGAAAAAAGATGTGGCAGTCTGCTTCTATAAGGATTGACAGCCTTGGCAACTCTATGGGGCAGTTCTACTCTGCCCTATAGGGTTACTATGAGTTGGAATCAACTTGACAGCAATGGGTTTTGGTTTTGGTGCTGTTTTTAGTAGTTTCTATGGTTTGCTAATTATTTGGAAATATCTCACCCCTTTGTTCTAGAAAAGTATTCTTGTGTTTGTGCGTGTTCCTTTTTGCCATGCTCAAACATTTGGGAAATGGAAATAGGGAAGCAGTAGCTTCTTAGAAAAACTATAGTCGAATTAGCAAAATGTAACAGAAACTGTTGATCTTGTAATTACTGTTTTTGCTTGTTTTTTTTCTCCTTTGCTAGGAGACCTGTTATGATGATGTGTGTAGTGTTCACCACACTTCCCAGCTTCAGCTTTTCTATAGCAGTGACCGAGGTATGGAATTTTGACTTCTTCTGCTACTGGATTTTGGGATTTTAAAACTTCCCATTATTGGAATTTGATAGAGCAATGTGCCCAACAAATTTCTTAAAGTTCATTTTATCTAGTCTTGTTCCAAATTACAATATATTACAGTACTAAGATCATTTTACCTCTGTGATTACAGAGGAAAGCTTAGCAGTTAATTAAAAAAAAAAATTCTTTTTTTGTCATGTGTGTGAGCCAGGAATGTTATGTTAAAATGATTTTTTTAGAAGAAAAGTAAGGAATTTAATAATAAATAAACATTTGTATTTTCTACCAACCTTATGTTTTTCATGAGTGTCCTCATTTCTAAATGGAGTATTTTTTCTGGCAAAAAAATGCTCACACTTTAAGACCTTTGATATTATATGCATTGACAAATAATGTGCACATAACATTTATTTGAAAACAACTTTGTTTTTACTGAACATGGCTTCAAAAGGACTCGGAAGGGTCGATGTGTATAGGGCAGGAATGTCATAGGCAGAACTTTCAGCCTGTGAGAACCTTATTATCCAAGAAAGTCAAAGAGAAATGTCCCATTAAGCTAAGTAATTTTCAAGGTGCTGTGTCAGATACAATTTTCATTTCTCCAAAGTGTGACAACTTCAAGTTCTCTGTCCTATTTAATTTATATATTAAGCAACTATTCATTAAGTTCATATTAAATGCCAGGGCCCTGGTAGGTACTGGAATATAGCACTTAGGAAACATGACAAAGTCTCTGATGGTCAGTACTTTATTTACTGGCATAGGGAGAAAAATAAATGGACAATTAGAATAAGTATGATGAGTGCTGTGAGAGAGGTAAATACTGGGTAATGAATAATATCATTAGTAGTGACATCATTGTTAGTACACACCCTAGATGCTATATTACGACAATATAGCAATGCATAGAATAATCTCAGAAGACCATCTACATGTACATTGCATGAACAAATGACAACAGATGAGTTTAGATGAGTTTTTAATCTAGATTTTTCATTCCCTGCTCCCCAACACCATTACAAAGCACTTGAGAGTTACCCAAGTGCTTTAAAACAACAAAACAAAACAGTTTACACCATTTCAAGAAACATCACCATCATTTCTATAGTTCAATAACCTTTTTTTGGTTCTTTTCCATTATATCTCACTCACTGTTAACATGTTTTAATTTCCAATTTTCTTACTTAATCTTTCAATGTAGTGTAACCCAGATGGAAAAATGCACAAAACATGAATGTGCAATATCAATGGAATATTACAAAGCAATTCTTTGTGTAAACACTACTCAGGTCAAGATATAAAACGTCACCAGCTTCCTACAAGCCATCCCCATGTTCCTTGCAATGATTACCTTTTCTTCCTTCTCAGAGGTAACTTCTCCCTTAACTTCTAACACCACAGATCAGTTTGCCAGAGTTTGAATGTTTTGTAAGTGGACTCAGTTGTTTTATATACATATACACACATGTATATTTATTATTTACACATATAAGTATATATATTTGTGTCTGGCTTCTTTTATTCAAAGTATGGTTGTGAGAGTCATTCATGTTTTTGTGTACATCGCTGTAGAGTATTTCATTTTATGAATATATCATAACTTACTAGTTTTGGCTGTGAGAAGTAATGCGGCTGTGAACAGCCTTGCACATGTCTCTTGGTGTCCAAGTGCATGTGTTTCAGCAGGTTAAATATCTCTGAATTGAACTGATGGGTCATAAGATATTCAAATGTTCAATTGTAACCAATAATGCGAAACAGTTCTCCAAGAAGTTGTAGTAATTTAGACTCCTGATAGAAGTCATGAGCATTTCTGTTGCTCCACATCCTCACTAGCACCAGTATTATATGTAGTTTTATTTTAGTTACTCTGGTGGACATGTTCTTGAGTGTCTTTGTAGTTTTTAAGTTGCATTTTTGCACATCTTTTTGTATGCTTTTGGTTATGCTTTATTAAAAGTACATTCTATCTCTTGCTCTTTTTTAAAACTGTGTTGCTTATCTTTTTTCTTATTATTTGGAAGTTATTTATATATTCAGAAAGTCCTGTGGTGATTAAATGTATTGCAAATATCTTCTACCATTCTGTAACTTCTGTTGGTACTTTTAAAAGTATCCTTTGATTAGTAAATATTCTTACTTTTAAAATATTCCAATTTTTCAATTTCTTTTCTTAATGGATAATGCACCCTGTACCTTGTTTAAGAAATGTTTTCCTATTTTGAGGTCCTGAAAATATTCCCCTATAGTGTATTTTGGAGGCTGTATTGTTTTTACCATCTTTATTTAGATTCATAATCCATCTGGATTTGACTTTTGTACATGTTGTACAGCTGGGAATCAAGTTGTGCATGTTTCCAAGTAACATCCAATGGAACCAGCACCATTCATTAACTTCACTGTCCTTTCTTCATTTCTCTACAGTTACATCTTTCTTATAAGACAACTATGGATATACATGATCTACTTCTGGGCTTTCTGCTCTATCCCATCCCATTGCCTGTGCCAATCCATACTATCTTAATTCTTGTAGCTTTGTAATACTGTTTATACCCAGAAGAGTAAACCTTCCTGTCTTATTCTTTTTCTTTTAGAGTATCTTGATTCTTTGTATTTCCAAATAAATTTTAGAATCACTTCATCATTGTCTATAAATAATTGGAATTTTGATTGGGATCACATTGATTTTCTAAAAATATTAAAATAATATTTTGAAGTCTTATTTTGTAACTCTTTGCTCCTGGTATATAGAAATTATTTATCAAATTTTGGGGGGCAATTTTCTTATACAATCATATGGTCTATAAATAATGCTATACCTTTTTTTCCAAATATTAATGCCTTTGATTTCTTTCTCTTTTCTTAATATACTGCTTAGGATTTCCAGTACAATGTTGAATAGAAATAGTCACAGTGGCATCTTTGTCTTGTCCTTAATCTAAGGGCAAACTATCAACGTTTCACCATTAATATGATGCTTGCCATAGATTTTTTTTTAAATAGATACCCTAATGAGATGAAAGAAGTACCCAAAGTCTAGATGGGTTTTAAATTGTGGTCAATGTCATGAGACAAAGTATATGTGAACTGCTGTATGGAAAGTGAATTTGCTCTGTAAATTTTCACCTAAATCACCAAAAAAAAAAAAAAAAACGGATACCCTAATGAGATGAAAGAAGTACCCAAAGCCTAGCTGGGTTTTACCTGGTGTCTTGGTTCTCTAGTGCTGGTAGAACAGAAATACCACAAGTGGATGACTTTAACAAACAGGAATCTATTCTCTTATAGTGTAGGAGGCTAGAAGTCCAAATTCAGAGTGCCAGCTCTAGGGGCTGAGTGAAGGTCTCTCGACCTTAGGCTTCAGGTCTGGCTCTTATTCCAGGCCCACTGGAGCTGGAGGCTTCTCATAATTCATGCAACTGCTCGCTGCCGAGGCTGACAAGCCTAAGGTCAACAAGTAGAATGGCACAGTCCCAAGATCAACAGACAACATAGCAGACTGCTGGATGAAGACTCAGCCAAATGAAGGATCCAAGCATGCCAAAAAACTTTCTCAAAAGCTTCTCCATGTACACTGGAAACTGGCCACACCCACAAGGCAGAGGTGATTACAGTCTCATCTTGGGGAGTAACTACATCCACCTGCCCAGCCACTGAAAACCACGGGTCCAGTCAAGTTGTCACAACCTTAACTACTACACCTGTCTTTCCCTCACTGGCAGACCTTAAACTCCTTAGCAATTTGAGATAGGAGCTCTGGTGGTGCTGTGGTAAGGCATTCGGCTCTGAACCAAAATGTCGGCTGTTTGAACTCACCAGCTGCTCCACAGAAGAAAGATAGGGTAGCCGGCTTCTGTAAAGATTTGCAGCCTGAAAAATCCTATGGGGGTTGCTGTGAGTTGGAATCTACTCGCTGGCAGTGGGTTTGGTGGCAATTTGAGCTGGACTCTCATGGGTTGTACTCACCAAGAGGATTAGAAAGAATTACCCATTCTACCATTCCTTGGAGACTACTATTATATTTTGCATGTGTTAGCCAAACTCTGTCTTTAATTGAAAGCTCTTTGATTAATGTGAATCCTTTATCACAGTTCCTCACGTGTTTAGAACTTGAGAAGCTGAAAACAAAGCTTCTAGTTTTGTTTTTTTTTTTAGCATATCTGTTTACGATTAACTTAGTGCAGCTTTCACATTATGAAAATAATTTTGGAGAAAGACCACACAGTAATCTAAATGCTTCTAAATGATTTTCTAAACACAGGTTCAGAAGAATATTGCTGGTACCACTGCTGTATTACCTGATACCTTACCAGACCTACCAGTATCTCTGGTCCTGACTTGCTTAATCATGGTGGATATTATTGAAAAACTCAGGATATATCCTCTCAGAGGTAGTCAAAAGAGTAAGTATTCTTTTAAACATAAATTTAAAACTAGTTTGCTATATCTTTTACCTTTTAGCCACAAAGGAGCTCTGGTAGTACAGTGCCTAAGGCATCTGACTGCTAACCAGAAGGTTGGTGGTTCAAACCCACCAGCCACTCTTTGGAAGGAAGACTGGGCAGTCTACTTTCATAAAGATTTACCGCCTCAGAAACCCAAAGGAGGTCTCTGTGTGTTGGAATCAACTTGATGGTAACGAGTGTGTTTTTTTTTCACGTTTCCTCACTTAACTACTGTCAAGTCGGATCTGACTTATAGCAACCCCTCCTTGGATTTCCCAGGCAGTATCACTACAGAAGTAGATTGCCCAGCCTTCCTTCAGAGGAGTGGCTGGTGGGTTTGAACTGCCAGGCTTCTGGTTAGCAGTCAAATGCCTTAGGCACTACACCACTAGAGCTCCCTTTTCAAGTTTAATGATGCCTTTTTTAGGTCTAACCTTAACGGATAGAAGAGCATTGCAAATGAAGCTATCTAAGTATAAAAAGCTAAGTAAAAGCTATTTTGATAGCTAGTTATTAAGGAAGATGGGGCAATCTACTTCCGTAGTGATACTGCCTCGGAAACCCAAGGAGGGGTCACTATGAGTCGGGTCCAACTCGATGGCACATAACATAACAAAAATTTATATTTTGATATATTGGTATATTAATAAAGCTAATGAATATTAAGCAACATTTTAAGTATTTACTCTAGGAAGTAAATAATTATGTTGTTGTTATTTTCCATTGAGTCGTCATAGCGACCCCTCGTGTTTCCAAGACAGTATCACTACGGAAGTAGATTGCCCAACCTTCTTTCTGAGAAGGAGTGGCTGGTGAGTTTGAAACACCAGCCTTATGGTTAGCAGTCAAGTGCCTTAGGCACTATGCTACCAGAGCTCCTTCTGACTCAAAGACCCTATGTACAACAGAATGAAACACTGTCTGGTCCTGTACCATCCTCACAATCTTTGCTATGCTTTTGCAGAAGTGGTGGCCCCATCCTTCTTCCCAATGTGTCTTAGTCTGCAAGCTTCACTGAAACCTGTTCACCATGGTTGACCCTGCTGGTATTTGAAATATCAGTGGTAGGAGCTCTGGTGGCATAGTGCCTAAAGCATTTGACTGTTAACCAGAAGGCTGGCAGTGCAAATCCACCAGTCACTCCTCAAAAGGAAGATGGGGCAATATATTTCTGTAGTGGTAATACCTTGGAAACCCAAGTAGGGGCTACTAAGAGTTGAATCCAACTCGGCAGCAGTGAGTTGAGTGGCATAGCTTCCAACATCACAGAAACATGCAAGCCACCACAGTACCAAAAACTGATAGACAAGTGGTGGGCATTTATATTTTCTGTGTTTAATTCATGATATATATTTAATTCATGATATACAATATCTCTGGTTATTATATGGCTGAGATTTTGTCATTATGAATCTGAAATGGGTAGATTTTGTGAGGAGTCCCTGGGTAGTATAAACAGGTAAGCACTTGGATGCTGATGAAAAGAATATCCACCCAGAGGCACCTCAGGAGAAAGTCCTGGTAATCTATTTCCAAAAAAATCACCCATGCAAAGCCCTATGCAGCACTGACACACATGGGGACATGAGGTGCCATGAGTCTGAATTGGCTTGAAAACAACTGGTTAGTTAGATTTTATAAAATCACTTCCTGACAGGGTGGTTGGAGTAAAATGGGGTGAATCACAGGAGATTGTTTCAGAAGTGGCAAAGATGACTACTAGAGCCAGGAAGGAAGAGACCAGTCAATTGTTTATGAGTCACGTATCTCCACCCTGACAGTCACACTTGCTTCGCTTATTGAAAAGCAAAACTGAAATAAAGGCCACTAGGAAATTTGATACTCAGAGCTTCACATTTTTGCACTTTGTCCTTGGGTGAGAGATGATAGACTGCTATGTTTGATGAGCACAGGTGACAAGTTAAATAAGATGGAGGCTATGGGCCATCTGTTGAGGAAAAGGCGCTCTTAATTTAAATCTGCCCTCCAGATCCATGTGTATTTTTCTTAAGCTGAGGAGCTTTGGGAGGTCTCCATACTCTGCTACTTCTCTAGGCCCTTTAAGGATACAAATCTATTTGGAATTGGACTATTACTATTATTATTATTTTAAATTGTGCTTTAGGTACAAATTTACAGAGCAGAATTTGTTTTACATTCAACATTTTGTGTGCATTTGGTTTCACTCCCTTATTACCACCCCAACCCTGACCCACTCTCCTCCTCTCCCTTCCCAGTAACCCTGCCCTCCCTGTGCCCTTCTTAGTTATGTACTCCTGTGTGTCCTGCTTTTCCTCTGTGTGAATGGAATTGGACTATTTCAATGTTAATGTGAAGTTTTTGTTAAACATTTTAGTAACAGTTCTTTTTAAAAAACACACATGTATATTTTTGGGAATAATGTAATGGCATTTTATTTTTGTAAGTCATGAGTTGGATTTTTAAAGGGCAGTTTTCCCTGTATCAAGAAATGATGATGACAGTGAGAATCAAAGTAAAAAGGGTCTAAAGAAGAAATAAGTCTTGGGAAAAAGATGCCTGAACATTTTGTACCAATTGTTTCTTCTTAGATGATAAGCCTCCTTCCTCAACTCTTTGCCAGAACATTGGATGGTTTAAAGTTTGATTTAAAAGCTCCACCATTTAAAGGAAAGAGACCTGGGATAAGCAAAGCACTACTGAAGAAGAAAAACAAAGTAGGAGGTCTCACATTGCCGGATCTCAAAACCTACTATACAGCCACAGTAGTCAAA